CTGTTCCAAACAATCCCACTCCCACTCCCAGTCCCACTTCCTCTCCCGACAGAAAAGTGTCTGCCTACAGCTGCCCTTTTCCCCGTTCCTTGCACTCCACCAACCATTTTCTCCCACCAGAAAAACCCAACTTTAAACACGGCAAAGAAAATATATAAAAAATTCCGATTTAGACTCGGAAAATCTCTTTTATTTTGTGTTTTGCCTCGTTTTTATTTGACTTTGGGGACGTCTGCTGATGTCGGTGATAGCTAAGGGGCCAGCGATGAACGGAGGCTGTGGCTGACTGGGGAGGGTATGCAATATTTCTGATATGTTTTAAAGCGAAAGGATAATGGAATGAAAGACCAGGAGGACGAGGCCTTTTCCTCAGGCAATCCTAATATTTGCACAACTGCGATTTTTCGGGATTTGTGGCGGAAAAGAGGGATGCGGAGCAGGGGTTCGGGCTGTAGGTTTAGGGGTCCCTGGAGTTGGGTTTTTATTTAAATTTTCGTACATTTGAGTTGATTTGGCCAGTGGATTAGTTTAGGATCAGTGGACAAGCAGAAGAAGGGCGGACGGAGCACCGAGCAAGTGGTGAGAGGCAGGGGGGCGGACACATAAAAGAACACGCCGATAGAGGCGATGTTGAGCGTCGGAGGTGGCAAGGTGCCAGTGAGTTCTGTGTGGACTGCTGCTGGACTCTTCCTGGGTCAGCTGGGAGTGAGGGGAGGTGGTGGGGGCCGGTCCATTACCCGAACACGTGTCCCCATTGGCAGTGTCCCTGCTAATTGCCACAAATTGTTGATGTTCCTGTCTCGTGTTGCCCCATGAGGAACGGACTATGTTATGTTCAAGCCAAATTAAGGCGCTGCTCCCTCCAGAGACCACCCACAGTACATATCCCACATCCTAATTTCCAAATCTTGAATTAAATTTCCAAAGATTATCCTGAATGTATCTCTATCCCACTCTTATGTGAATCGATTGAAATAAAGATGAGTAATCTGCAGATGCAAACTTTTCGGGGATCTGCTCATTATAGTCAGTGCAATGAAGCATGTGGCATGACCTGTAAACTTTTCTTTATTTCCGAGCACATAGCATTGGATATAGCATCCGATATCTGGCCGACATGTGCCACCCACCTCCCAACAGGTCAATGAGCCGTGAGTACCGTGTAATGAGTGAACATTGATTACATGTTGCATCGAGTTAACTCGAATGCAGTGTCCGTCCAGCATGGAAACATTGTTGCCACAATTGTTGTTGCATCCAAATTAGACACAGCTGGAGCTACTGAAACACCACCCTCTGCCAGATGGGGCACAGGCGGACACAAAGAGAGAAAGGGAGAGAGAGAGAGATTGCAGCCACAAGCCTCCACAAAGCATTGCCATAGCCGGGTGGAATAAACCCCTAACTTCCCCACAATCGGGTGCCCTTTTGGTCCTATCCCTGCGCTACCCACAGCTACTCTCTGCCCCCATTGCCACGCGCCACTCTTTCCCCTGGCTTCCAACAACCAGTTGAAGACGTGCAAATTATTGCCACGGCAAAATTAGGTCAACATGGCGACGTCCCTCTACCGCTGCCGTTGCCACTTCCTCTACCTCCGCCCCTGACTCTCCTCCACTCCTCCTGCCACAGTCGTAGCTTGTATAGTTATGGCGCTTTGTTGTTGCTAAATTAAGGGTTGCATTGCCACCCCCCAACCACCAACCCCCCACTCCACACTCTCGCACACATTTTCTGCTTTGTTTTCTCTTCCTAGGAAAAACTTTGCCGCGTTTCTCATTTAACATTTAAATGTGGCACTAGATGTGGATGTGGCACTGGATGCGGATGCGAATGCGAGTTCGGAGGCGTTGAATCTGTCTCAGTGTTTGCTTAACGGCCATTGGAGGTGGGCGTGTCAGGATAAATTTGCATATCTGCCCCCCCACGTACCATCAGCGTCCATCCATCCCTGCCATCTATTCATCCAGCGAAACCCAGCAAATCCTTCGCTATTCTTTGCTTAAGGAACATCCAAGACGACGAGGGGGCGGTATGGGCAGGGGCAGGGGAGCAGCAGGTTCGTGGCTAGGGAAACCCTTTGACATTTTCTGTTTGCCTTTTGTGGCACCCCTCCTCTTGTTTGCTGTACCGCAACGTAGTTCAAGGCAAACATTTTTCGGCAAGTCATAGACAATTCCACTGCCCTCCCTAACCTCCCCCACTGTTGTCTAGCCTGACAAAGTTGTTGAGTTTTTCGGGTGCAAATGATTTGGCTTTGATTCTGTTTTTGTTTTGTGGAAAATTTGGAAAATGCCTAAGGAAAAAAAGAGAGAGAAAATGTAAGGGAAAACAAAGCAACAAACAAGCTGCAATTCCACAGCAAACACAAATACAGATACAGAGATACAGGCGAATGCATGTTCCAGTCCACGCCCACACATGCGTCTGCTACGTGACCTCCTTCACTCCCTCCTGGCACCACCCCATCTACCCACCACTTGGCCACTTCTCGGCGCTGCTTCAAATTCACTTCACTTCGTTCTTTTCTCTAGTAATTTTCTCTAGTCTCCCATCCCCTCCTGGCCAACCACCTAACTCTCGTTCTTTAGAGATGGGTTCTCCTTCCCTCTCCCTCGCCCCCTCTCTCTATCGTGTCGAGAGCTTTGCGCAAATTTTTTTCATGTTTTCATGCGTGTTGCATGAACAAAAACAAAAAACACACAAACAAAATAAAAACAAGAAAGAAAGGCTCCCTTTTGGGGGACAGAAGCTCTTGGATACCCTCCTTGCAGGTCGAATGTTTCTCTGGGTCAAATTTCTGTGAGTTATAATTATCCGACCGGATCTTTGACTGATCCTGCCGCAACAGCTCCTACACAGATCGTACTATATGGACAGGCATGCCACACTTTTTGGGGTCCGATGCAAAGAGTTGATGAAAATCGTAGTACACTCTGCGAGGGTATAAAACCAGAAAGAAACAACGACAATGACGAGGATGATTGTTAGAGTGTGGCAGCGGCAACAACAACAATGGCCATATTGTGTAGCGAAGTCAAGTGGCGGGCAAAGGCAATCACACACACACAACACACACACCCACACTCTTGTGGCACGCATAAAATATGTACATATGTATTTGTATTTGTACTACTTTCCGTTGCATAACTGTAACCTGGCACTTTTCCTTTTGTGAGCTTTCCTTAGAGCAGAGTCCACTTATTGGACTTTTCCCTCTGTTTCGTTTCGCACTCGAATTTCCGGTAATGAAAACCTTGTTGTAGCACCTTTACCCAGCCACCCACTTCAGCCACACCCCCTTGTCAGGTGCAATTTAGTTGCTTCCTTTACCGCTCCAGCTCTCCGTCTATTTTTTCTGATGCACTGGAGTACTTGTGCGACTATTAGGAATGAATCGATGAGAAATGAGGCGAAAGAGCAATTGGAACAGTGGAAACCCAATGCCTGCCCTGCCTACCCTTCTCCTCATCCCATAATAGCCTGTTTTGTTGTTGCTTTTATTATTATTATTACATATTACATATTTCCATTGTAAATTGATATCGCGAAACGAGCTGCAAAAGAGAGCGCGAACGAGAGAACGCTTTTCGATTGCCCAAGCACTTCAATTGCGTTTCCCATTCCCTATCACACTATACTCGAACATAGTACAGATACATAGTACAGATACATATATACATATATATATATATATATATATATATATATACAGTATGTTCTGTCTGTACGATTATGGATACGTATCGAGCGAGTGTGTTCCATGCCAAAACTTTGTGTAAACAAAAAACGAGAGAGGAGAGATTTGTAAACAGTGTGGAGGAATGAGATGAAATGAGAATTGCCAGCGGAATGTTCTGATGATGTGTTGTTTCTGTGAGAGTGTGGCATCATATTGTATGTGTGTGCATCACAATTCCGCAAAAGAAAAACAAAAGACAGGGGAACGATGAATGGAAAAGGGGAAATGAAATTGGAATTGGAATTGAAGCTGAATTTGAAACCGAAATCGAAACCCAAGTTGAAGCATGCGCCGCCGACTTGGCGGATGACGCATCCTCCTCCTCCAAGAGAACGCGAGAGAGAAAATCCAGAATGGGGAACGAGGAGGAGGGGTGGATAAACATAAATAAATAACACATTCCCAATATTAATCCCCGCAATCAATGCAAGCGCGTGGCTGCTAGCCATAACGGTGCAAGGGAGGGGGAACCAGATTCAGGGGTGGGCACCTATCGGTAGGCGATAAGTGAAGTAGCAAGCAATCGAATAGGTGCTGATGGTCTCCCATGGGATCCTAGATTGCAAATATTCGTTTCCTCTTTGCACCACTGTGGATCAGTGGTGTCTCTTCTTTGGTGCAGTGAGCCACCCCTAACAGCGAAAACGCATTATGCCACGCCTTGCTCCCCACAGAACAGACTCGGGCTCAAGGGCAGCTTCTTGGGCAGAGAGCATTTGTCATATTTGCACAAGGCAACGACGGGCAGCAAGATGAAACATGGAAACAGGCATCCAGGCAGGGAGGCGGCAATGGCGGAAAAAGAAAGAAAAGCAAAACTAAAATTGCGCATATTTTGTGCTGGAATAACTTGGTGAACCCGGGGGGGAGAGCCGTGGAGCGTGGAGCATGCGGTGGCAAACAGATGTACAAATGAGTGTGCCAAGTTGGACGGATAGGGGTGGGCTGGCGATGCCGCTGGGTATGGGGCTGCACATGCAACCAAGCTGGCAGCAGGAATGCAAAGAGAAACAAAAAGCAGCAGATGGGGAGAGGAGGAAAAGCATTCTAAATCAGAGGCACGCTTTCATTCGGTTGGTTTTTGTGTGCGAAACATTCCCGGGATAGATGGCGAGCGCAGGCCAGACCGTGTTCTGCAAGGTGGCGCTTATTCTTCCGCAGGACAACCGTCTGTCTGCAACATGGCGTAAGAGTCGTACCATACCCCTGCGCCCGTGTCTGGGGTATCACCCATCACCTCCATCAATGCCTCACTCACCTTGTATACGTCGCCGTAGGTACCGGAGCCAATCTTCTGGATTAGCTCGTATTCGTCCTGCGGATTTCGCCGCGAGATGTCCGAGCTGAGGAGGTTCGCGTTGTGGTGGCTGTGCGCGGCGGCCATGTTGAGACCGAGTCGAGTCCCCGATCGGAGTCCGAATTCGAGGTCGAATCCTACCAGCTTTCTGGTTCTTCTTTCGCGTACTTTGCTTTCGTTCACTCACTATCGTCTCCTTTTCTTTGGTTTTATTTTACTGATTATTTGTGGCCGCCCATCGATAAAGATCAAGATGCATTTTGTCAGATTGCAGAGAGGGGCAGGCGGGCGGATTACACACACATTAGTCACACACAAAGAGACTTTCAATTGCGTAACGTTAACTGGACTTCTTTGTCTAGATCGAAATTAGCCCAAACTGAAATTGGCAAACACGAAATTAGACAACAAGAACGGTATCGGATACGGGAACGGTGCGGGCACAGATACAGGAAACGACACTGGCGATATTATGACGCAGAAAATGATGGAAACAAAAACCAAATCAAACAGCAGGAACAACAACAGCAGCGGCGTCAGCGGCAGCGTAGAATAAAGAAAAGTTAAATGTGAGGTATGGCAGTTGAACACAGCGGCCCCCAAAGCTGGGGCTGGTTCCACCTTGTACTTGAAATACCTTGCCAAGAATGATACACGCATCGCAGCGTTTGCGTTTGCAACGGGCAAGAGAAAGCGTATTTTGGCGGGGGGTGGTAAGCGAGTTGCGCTTTCAGGGGGCCACAGAACAGTCTTTTTTTATTTTTTCTCTTCGGTAAGCACTTTAATCGGTTATTGTTTATTGAACTTAGCGCTCGACCACAGGCATAGATTCCCCCATTAGGAGTAGGCACAGACAACAGACAGAACTGCGACGACACACGCGACAACAAAAACAGGGGCGACACAATACTGCGTCGACGAAGGCGAGGCGTGTCGCTTTGTCGCCTGACGACTGTGTTGTTGTTGTTTTCGCTGCTGCTTGTAAATTTATGAGAAGCGCACCGATGCGAACACGTGACTGCTGCCGAGTTTTTTATTTCTTTTTTTTTGGCTGACGAACAATTTTGCCACCTTATAATTATTAGTTTATAATAATTTCACGAACGAAAAATTTCACATGCTCGCGCAGCCCAAAATGTTGTTGTTCTGCCCCTTCCCCTCCCGATGTTTTGACCGAAACTAGCGATGCAAGTATGTATTAATATATATCGATAAATATTTTTGTGGAAAAATATTTGTGGGTGATATTACAACATAAATGTGCATTTTTTTTTTGGGCTCTGACTTTTCGGAGTTCAGGACAAATGGATATTATTTTTCTTACTTTCGACGTCGTTAGAAGATATACCCGTGACTTTTGGTTCATGTTTCATCGATACTCACAGAGTTCGATACTTTCGTGCGATAGTCGTATTAAACGGCGGTGCCACAGATTGCCATTCTAACCGAATTCCATTTAAAATTATAGGCGCCTTCAAAAATTGGTGGATGCCTGCCACATATTTTCGAATTTTTAAGGATAGGATTTTCGTAGCGATTCCCAGACTTCAAAAAACGTTTTTACTTTTACCAGTAATTTTAATTGAAAAATTCTTAGTTTGCTCTTATTTTGTACAATTATTATTCGTGTTTGTAGAAAATACAAAATATCAAAGGGGTCTTGTTGACACAGAGAAAGGTTAAAAACGAAACCAAAGAACTTATTGCACATGGATGTGTGTGTTTGTGTGTATAAATAAATAACATAATTTATCAAAGATTTCGATAGCCGATGTGTCCTGCTGTTCCTCCTTCTAAGCATAGTAATTCGATTAAGTGTCCTCGGGTCTGTGAAGGATGATGGATGGATGGGGGGCTCACAGTTTCCGTATACTCCGATCCGCCGCAGCCGAGTTAAGTTTGGTTCTGTGAAGAAAAAGCAAAGAGATCGGATTAGTCGAGTCTGAAAAGACATGGGGAACATCCAATAAAATCAACAACCCAAATAGGGGTATAAAAAGCTTTAAACAACAACAGATCTTGCCGAATCACAAGCAACAGGCTGAACCATCGAAACCGATCCGAACGGAACGGAATGGAGCTTGGTGTTAATTTAGTACACAACACAGTGGTTTGGTGTAGCAGAACAAGGAACTTCCATGCAGATGGCTTACCCGCCTAAAGAGTGAATAACTCTCGCACCTTCTATAGCCGAACGAATCTAGAACTGAGGCTGTTTCGAAGGATCGAAGGAGGAGTTTCAGAAGGAGGACTTTTGTGTTTTTAAGTTCGGCCGCTGCCGCTGTCGCCCCCAAACTAGTTAGAATATTGTGTTTTAGTTGATTGCGCGGCACCTAAGCCTACTGCTCACTGTCCATCCTGTGTCCGAGTGGTGGTGCGAGGTGGTCGTGTGGTGGTCGAGTGGTGCGATGAGAGAAGAGCTCGGATTAATGTCGAAACAGAAGACAACTGAGAACTGAATTCAATTTATAGCTGTGGCCAAGCTTCATGGATGAATGAGGATGATCGCAGATGATCGTTGTGGATGGTTAGCAGTCAGGCAAAAGCCGAAGCAATATAGTACAGAATTCAAGTCAAATTTTAACGGAGCTCTACACGCTCTTCCGACGCCAATTCAATGATCAAAGTAAATCAAAAATTGCAATTGCTCGTGGTAAATATTTAACTGCATTTGGCGGAGTTTACAAAAGAAGAAGTACGAGTATTTAGATAGTTTTGGTAGACAGATAATGCTTTAGATAACTAGGTTTAGATCTCTCTCTGTGAGTACCGGATAGGAGCTTCTACAAGGATCAAGGGCGTGTGTTTTGTATGTGTGGAAGGAGAAAAAATAAAACGAAATCAATTAATTAGTTTGGGGCCACTCCAAAGTCAGAGTTAAACAAGGGAAGGAGGAGGCACAACCAAGCCCGAGGGTAGCGAGTCCGACCACTTACAGTTCCATGGAGAGCACCGTGGGATTGGGACAGGCCTGGGGTGCCCGTATGTGACACTGCTTGTGACAGATCAGCTGGCAGTCACGACACTCGTATCCCTGCTTGCCCGGCCTCCGAGGTATGGACTTCATGCAAATCGAACACTGCAAGCCGCTTCTGCAAGGCCATAACAAGACGAATAGAAGAATATGGTAAGAAGTTCGAGGTGAGAGTTTTGCCAATTCGGCCCACTTACCCGCTCAAATGCTTGGCTATGAAGGTGTGATCGTTGTAGATGTGCAGCTTGGTACCCTTGCGGCGCCAGCGCGGTCTCTGGGCAATAGCCAAAGGCACAATAAAGTGGCTAAAACAAAGGCAAAGCATGAGAATCACAGGAAGATCTGGATTCGGTCATGACTCACCGCTTTACGCCGTTCTCGATGGTCTCCAGGACCAGTGTGGAGGCCTCATGCACGTAGGTCTTGTTGCTGGCCGAGGAGAAACCTGAGATGGCCGAGGATTCTGAAATTGAAGAGCGTCGTGAGTGGTCGGTGATGGCGGAACCAATGCCCATGCGGGGTCCTGCGTAATTTAGTGTTTGTTTTAATAGTGTGTTCGAATATCGTTTCCAATATCCAGTAGTGGATAGTACAGATTGTAGATTGGAGAGTAACACACAAACCAAGCACCCGATAAGACCAAATTAATATATTTTGCATATGAAAATAAAAAGAGAAAAAAAAAGATACGAAAAGAGAGTGTGAGAAATAATTATAAATATGATCATTAATGCCGTATGCGAACCGAGGGGAAGCAGATCCAAAAACGCAATATCCAAATCCAAAATAAAGCCAAGTGTTTGCAAAACGTTTCAAAAAATTTAAATGTGTTTGTGTTGTGAAGTGTTTGGTGTGTGTGTGTAATATAGTGTGGTGTGGTTTTGGTGGAGGACCGGGGAATACATACAGATTTGTGTTGGGGACACAGTTCGGTTAGCAGTTGATGGGGAGAGAATGTGGAGAGAGAGAAGACAAGACAAACAAGATATATAGATACAGAACAGTTAACGATACAGATACAAATTAACGTTCAAGGAATTAAGCATAAAGTCAAGATATATAGACATGTTCTAAACATTAAACATTAGGATACATAAATGGATAGATACATGGATAGTGCATCGGAAGAAGAATCAACAGTTAGGATATGCACGGGGGACATGATCGAATGTCAAATGAGATGGATGTCCTGGTCCTGGCTATCCCAACCCTTGATCCAATTATAACAGACATAATGCAGGAAGAGTCTGAAATGTGCGGTAAGCTCGGGGGATGCATGGCCGGTTAGAACGTAGACTGAGATGCTGGTGCAGGGGGACTGGGTGGACGATTGGGTAATTACCAAGTGAATTGCTTTTGGACAGAGTGGCACGATCGACAGATAATGAACGGGAAGAATCACCATTGAGGGTTCCGGTGGCGGTTCGGGGGAGTCCTGTCGATGTTGTTGTAGTATTGGCGTAGTTCGAGTTGGTGGCTGATAGTGATTTGTGATTGCTATTGGGCTGATCTGCCGAGAGGGTGCGTGTCTTGGAGCGGCTGAGCCGCTTCTTCAGAGTGCCAAAGAAATTACGTTTTTTGCTGCGCCCGCGGTCGTCCAGCACGTCCATGCCCTCGCCCGCCTGCTGCCCCAAATGGGCCCCGTTCCTCGGCAGGCTGTTGGAGCTGTAGCCACCACCATTGATGTTGGAGCTGCCGTTGCCGTTCCCGGCAAGTCCACTGCTCCCGTTGAGGTTGTAGTTGTTGTGGTAGCCGCTGCCGTTTGGCGAGGAGGCTGCATTGGGCTGCCCGAACTGGAAGAACGCTCACAGAGATTAGCAGAGGACTCAGTTGGGTGCGTCGAAAACTGCAAACTTCATGCCATGCCATGGATCTAACTCCTCCAACTCTTTTGCGAACTCTTGAACTCACCTCCGTGGCACTGTCCTCGTTGGCGGTACCATTACCGTTACCTGTTTCGTTGAGTGGCTCACCGTTACCGGTGCCGGGCAGCGGCTGGACCTCCGTTCCGGGGTCCAACTCGAGCTCCAGTTGGAGCTGCTCGGCCTTGGCGGCCGCTGCCTCGCTGGCGGCTCGCTCGAAGGCCTGGGCCACGGCCTGGTCCAGCTCTGTGGGTGACTCTATGACTTCGATGCGGCCATCTTTGTTCAATTCGACCTGGACGGGGGCGTTGCCATGGGCATGGTTAGAGAAGCGCGGGGGTTAGGCAAGAACGAGCAATGGAACAGAACGAGAAACAGTTGAGATTAGCTTGACTAGATCCTAATCCTGCATGACGGTGCTCATCATGAGGGGGCGGAGGTGGGGGTTAGAGACGCAATAACTCAATGAAACTCAAAACGAAACGGATGACCGAGGCTGGAGTGCGGATCGGGTGTGGAATTACCTTAAATGCATTCGGATTGCTCGAGTTCTGTGCGGGATCGGGGATGGAATGAAAGAAACGAAGAAAGAATGAAATTATAGAACCAAAGAGAGCTCAATGGTGGTCTCCAGGAGATGATTGAGATAATGCTGGCGGAGAAGCATCAGCATCCTACTCACCCGCTGCACGCTGTGGATGATGAGGGTGCTCTTGCTGGGCTGGCCACCGCTTCCGGTGGCGGAGAGGGCGCCGTCCTGCAGAGCGCGTACCGCAGCGTCGGCCAGGTCGGCTCCGTTTCGGATGTGTTCGTTGATGGCCGGCGTGCTGAGACGCAGGGCCTCCTTGAGGCGATGCGGACGGGCGCCCGCCGGAATCTCGGCTCCCTCGATAAACACGAAGTCCACAGTGATGGCCCCGGCCACTGGCTGGGTCTCGTAGGGGCGTGGCTGGAGCTGCAGCAGCTGGGTGGATGCCGGACCCACGGCCAACTCGTCGATGCCGACCAGGCCAAGTCCGAGGAATTTGGGCGGATCCGAGGCGATCACTGGATGGTCGTACACCTCGAAAAGTATCTCTGCAGACTGGGGGGAGAGTTCGCTGGAAGAAAAGAAAGATGAGTCCGGGAATCCCCAGCAGAAGGCCACACCAAGACTCACAAGAGGAAGTGCTCATCCCAGTAAGGTCTGCTGCCGCGCTGTGTGCCCGTCTGGTTCTTCTGGGCCGGCTCGTCCATCTCGATGACCACATAGGGGTCGTGGGCGTCTCTCAGACCCTCGCCCTTGACGATCTTCACTAGCAGCCGCCTGCCGGA